GGGAGACCTAGCTGGTAGCCAGATCATTTACATTTATAACAAATAGCAAGGGAAAACATCTAGAAAGGAATTAAGGGTAATATTAAAGTTCAGATATTATTTCCAGTCAGACAATAGTGAGTCCGGTTTAAAGTCCAGAAGGAGTGCACTGCATATTTATAAACTGTCTTGAAATATTAGCATTTATTATTTTTAAAGTTCAAATACAAATTTTGAAACATCAAGATGTGATGAGATTAAATGTGAAATACTTTATTGTATTTAGGAAAGACAATTTCTAACTTAAGAACTTCTCTTTCAAAATTTGATTGTATTTTAAGCTTCTTGGTGAGTTGGAAAAAGACCCCAAACTTGTTTATCATATTGGCCTCACTCCAGCCAAACTTCCTGACTTAGTGGAAAACAACCCTCTAGTCGCCATAGAAATGTTGCTGAAGCTAATGCAGTCCAGCCAGATCACTGAGTACTTTTCGGTCCTGGTCAATATGGACATGTCTTTGCATTCAATGGAAGTTGTAAATAGGTAAGTTTCTATACACAAATTTTGGGGATGAGGGATGGGTGGGTGTTTAGATCCTGATTAAGTGGCCAGAAGAGAAAACTAGCAACAAATTAGCCTGAGAAAAACCCATTAAATAATCTTAACTTAGTGTTCATTGCATGTGAACTTTAGCATCTGAGGGTAGGATCTTACATTTTTTACACATTAATAAAAGCACAAATGAAATTTAAATGCTGAAATTTCCCTGTGATACTTGTATTTTCTTTACCCTTGTACAATATAGATATTATATTAAATCACACTGTTACTACTGTATTGTAGGTTAAGTGTGGGTTTTCAGAGCTAAGAGAATTCTGAGAATATTATTCTTCCAAACTCTGTCTCCTTACTCTTGTCACTGTCAAGGAAATAGTATATTCCCTCTTGATGTGTTCTGTAGAGTTTTCACATTTTACTGTTTTCCTTACAAATATGTTTTAGGTAATTAAGAATAGGTGCCAAAAAAAAATATATATACTGTTTATATTTTTGGATATTTGAGTAAGGAACAAACAGCATTTGCAAAAAATTACATTTAAAAAAGCATTTTAGATTTAGAAAATTTTAAGTGTTTATGAGAAAAATGGCTTAAAATAAAACTGACATCAATTGAGAAAAAAAAAAAATAGGTGCCCACTATTTTACTAAGTTGTTTATACACAAGGTGACTATTTACCTGAGATAGTCCTAATTTAGGCTTCTTTTCCTGGGCTCCCTTTCAAGTGGTGTTCTTTTCGGGGTAACACATTACACAGTTACATATAAATGTTCACTCTCAGTAACAGACAACTAAAATTTTAATCAGAGCACATCATTTGAATGTTTATTTGAATTGGGGGTAATTTTATTTTTACCTACTTGAAATTGCACTGTAAACACTATGTCCTTTTAAATTAATGAGGGAAAAAAGCCTGTCAGGAAGCTGAGTGATGGAAAATAAAGTTTTTATTTTCTGCCACTGGCAAAACTAGTTAGCTGCTTGTTAACAACATGCCACTGTGTCTCTGTCCACTTGTTAAGATTTACCTTTTGAGGCTGTAATTTGTTCAAGTCCTTTGCATTGGGCTGAGCTCCGAGTGCTTCTTCCCTTTCACTACATTTGGCACAAGAAAGGCTGCATCATTTTATCAGTATCCTAGAGAGGAATTTCAAGGACAAGGTCCTGCTTTTGGATACCTTCCCCACCCCCTCCAGCCCCCAATCACAGTGTGAAGCAAACTTGTGGGCACTCAGAAATCTCAAGGACTATAGCAGCCTATCCCAGGTGTTTCCTGGAAGCGCTAAGTCCTTGGTGCTTTGTGTGAAAAGTTCCACAATGTACTAAGTTCATACTGTTCACACTGTGTATCACTAGCATAGCAAAGAAAATTTCATATAGTTAGCATGGAGTTCCTGCTCCTAGCTGACCTTTCTTTCTGGCCCCTAAAACATTCGTCAGAATCCTTTAGAAAATACTAGCCTTTGGGCCTCTCCGGTGGCACAGCGGTTGAGCGCCAGGTTGCGAAGTTGCCCGCAGCCTCTGGAGCGACGGTTTGATACCCGGCTGCTCCTCGGCCACCCAAGGAGGGTCCCGCATGGCGCGCAGACCTCTCGCATGGCGCGCAGACCTCTCCTGCCGCCCGCTGCTCCCCTCAGCAGTGTACTTCAGTCCTTCTGCCTGCTCTGCTCCCTGTTCTGGCTCTGGTGAATTCTCTCATCCTCCTGCGCTTCTGACTGTACCCAGTGCTTGTATAAATGAATAAATAAATAAATCTTAAAAAGGAAAAAAAAAAATACTAGCCTTTCCCTTCAAGACTCTGTACTACCCTGCCTTTTGTTACATTCCATGAGGTCTTTTCTGCTGTGTTCCTGAAATGTTATACTAATCCCTGATTCCAAGATTTTACTGACTGTTCAGTTATAAGTAAGGCTTCTCTACTTAGGTTTTAGTTTAAGTCACTGGTCCTTTCAAAGCTTTTCCCTTTGCTCTTTTTTGGCAACTGTGCTGTTTAGTTACTGAATTTATACTTTCCTCTTAGAAACACTGCCATGCATAGCATTTGTATTTAATAGGATTAGTAAATCTGATTTAAATGAGCTGAAAATTTGCCAGGGTTATTAGCGCTTGGAAGGTAGTAGTAACTATGAATTATGATTTAACCAAGAACATAGGGACATGGTGCTCAAAAAAATTTGAGTAATTACAATGCTTAATGCTTAGTATAAACTTTAAAAATGGAGTATCGTTTATTAGGCAGTGGCATTTTATTTGGAAAAGTGTATTTACAAATGAGCAACAGGGTCTACCCATCAGAAATTTTCACCAGAAAACCAAAATCATTTTGTAATTTATTGACGGTATTTTTTTAAAAGATTTATTTATGCATACAAGAGCAGGGGTACAGGCCAGAGGTACAGGGGGTGAGAGGAATCACAAGAGATAGAGCTGGGAACAGAACAGGCAGACTGACGGAAGTACACTGCTGAGGGGAACAGCGGGCGAGACAGGAGAGGTCTGCTGAGCCATGTGGGTAGCTCCCTGGCTGGGGATCAAACTCGTGCTGCAGTGGCTGCAGACAGCTTCATAGGTTGCATCTTAACCCCTTGGTCACCAGGGAGGCCCAATTGACGGTACTTTTTTAATGTTAGCAGATAAAATTAACAGCCTTAACTTTCTAATTTTATGCAACAGACTAACTACAGCTGTTGACCTACCTCCTGAATTCATTCACCTTTATATATCAAATTGCATCTCTACTTGTGAGCAAATTAAGGATAAATATATGCAGGTAAGAGAAATTTTTTTAAATCTCATAAATACCTGTCAAGAAAATAGACATAGTAAAATTTGTCTTTTCTTTTCCAGAATCGTTTGGTACGTCTTGTGTGCGTCTTTCTCCAGTCCTTGATACGGAACAAAATTATTAATGTGCAGGACTTGTTTATAGAAGTGCAGGCATTCTGTATTGAATTTAGTAGGATACGTGAAGCTGCTGGCCTTTTCCGGTTGTTGAAGACATTAGATACTGGAGAAACGCCTTCTGAGACCAAAATGTCAAAGTGATACCTCAGCAGGACACCCCCACCCCATCCATTGTTCAGCTGTACTGTGATTTAGTTTTTACAATTCTTGAGTAGTCTAATGCACATAAACAACACTTACTTCCTTAGAGCAAAGTTTTGCTTTCCTGGATGACTTTTCCCTTTAGATGAATTTTTGGTTATAGACTTAGAAAAATGTGTCTTTTAACGTCTCAGACTGTTCATAGGAGGAACTAGTCTTCCCTCAAATTACTATAAAAACGTAGATGAGGTTGTCAGCACTGAAGAACAAAGCGCCTGTTTTTGTTACAGGCTTTTGACAAGTTATGAATCCAGTTTTCCTAAGTCTCCAATGCTGAGGTACTTAATGAGAGTAAATAAAGCATTCTTAAGAATTTGTACTGCTCGAGGTGAAAATCAAAGTGTTCTTTGAATTAAATGGTAAACAGGAATTTGATCCTTGAACCTTTACATGCTTAGCTCTTATTAAGCACACTCTGAACCAAGGACATAACTTGTAACTTTATCTTGTCATGGGGACTTAATAGGTAACAGAATAAATGCATTTTCTGGACCTCTTAAACATTGAAACTTGTTAGAAACATTCCCCAAGGCTTTAAAGTAGCTGATATAGTTTTGGATTTTTTTCTCTTGTGATGTTCATTAGTTCTTTTATTAATAGTATGAGATAGTTTTTGTTGAGGGAAAAATCAGTCAGTGCTTTTGGGAGGTAACATTACCACTGAGGAAGTGCCATGTAAAACTGCTTGCTGAGTGGGATCTGTACCCTCCTGCCCATGCTGGGGCACATAACCTGTTCTAGAAATAAGAGCAACATGGCAAAGGGTGGGCTTTTACCCCACATTTAACTTTGTCAATAGTGCCTTACAATAAAGTTCTTTTTTATAAACTCTGTCCTCTCATTTTTACTTGAGGAACTTCCAAAGCATATTCTTTATAGAGAATCCGTTCAATAGAATTACTTTCTGATCCAATTTCTAGCAGAAGTTAAACAGTGGTGGTTTAGGTAAGTACAAGTTTCAGTCTTGTAGTAGTGGAGAAATAGTACTCCTAGATCTACAAGTCTTAAATCTTATGAAAGTGAAGAGTTTATAAATATATTTCAAAAAATAAGGACCCAGAGCCTCCCTGGTGACACAAGGGGTTAGGTAGGTCTCAGCACTATGAAGCTGTCACCAGCCACTGCAGCACAAGTTCAATCCCCAGCTGGCCAGGGAGCTAATACACGGCGTAGCAGACCACTCCTGTCTCGCCTGCTGCTCCCCTCAGCAATGTATTTCAGTAGATGGGCCTGTTCTACTCCCCACTCTGTTTCTGGTGAATCCTCTCACCTGCTCCACCCCCCCACCCCTTACCTCTAGCCTATACCCCAGTTCTTGCATGCATAAATAATTAAATCTTTAAAAAAAAAAAAGAGGACCCAAGTCCCTGTAACACAGGACTGCCTGCAGACACTTCAAATGATGACACAACCCTTGATTTCTCTTACCCTGAAAGTGTGCACCACTGTTCTGCCTATTAGCTTTGGGAAAAGTAGTTTTCTAGTCAAATACTTTTTGGAATGATACAGTTTTTGCCACTGCTGGAAGCAACCTAATCTTAGGTTGCTTCTCTGATATATTTAACTCAACCTTGACCGGAGCTTGCCTAACACTTCTGGAAGACATGTCATAGCCTTCTTTTGCCTAAGAACAGTACACAGAACTCTGGTACCTTGCAAGGGGGCCATTTTAAACCGCAAATGCACACAATGTGAAAAATGTAGTAAACAGAGAAAAAGACACACCCATGGACCAGGTGAAGAGCTTAAATAAGACAGTTTGGTCAACTGAAACTGGGAACATGAATGTCAGGTGACTCAAACTCTGTGTCCATGGAAGACTAAAAAAACACAAAGATTAGGGTTACAAATAAAAAATTTGCAAACAAATTCTGTGAATAGTCAACTACTGATCATTTCAAGACTGCATTGGCGTTTACTTGAAAGCTCTTAAAATTTATTTTACATAAGCTACCAACAAAAAATAGTTACATGAACCTAGGTAACACCTAGCTCACACCTCAACTGTTACCTACAAAGCTGTCCTTCCTTAGCTGCTTTGAGCAAGGCACTGGCCCTTGTACAAGTCTGTTTTTTCACTTGTAAAGTGAAGAGTAACTGTAACTGCTTCCTGAGTTTCTTGTGACAGTTAATGATACTATTGTAGTTAGATTTACTGCTTTAGAAAAATAGAACATTTTATAAACAGAAGCCTGAGTCAAGATTTACACCACCAGTGAAAGGTTCTTCATTAAACATGTTTAAAAGATGAGTCTACATGCAGCAAAGTAAATTACAGTCTTGGATTCATAACTGTAATCAATTTTTAATTGTAATCAAATGGTTTCAATTTATGTTAAAAAAAAAACCACATCTTGAATTCTTTTAATTTTTTAGTTGCAGTTTCTACCTTTAGTGTCTTCACATTACCTGTTAAAAAAAGAAGACAGCCCTATAAGTAACATTAGGGAAAAAAGTTACTTCAAAATCAATTTTTGGGGTTCTGAAGTATTTCAAATAATTCTGACAGTGTTTATTCATTTAAACAACTTTAAAGAACTGGCTCCACTCTCTCTATTCCTACAGAATACATATTTTCACATAATTTTAAGCAGCATCACACTGTTAGACTGGTGTTACCAGGTTTCTCATTGGCTTGTAGCTTGTATTATGTAAGTCTACAACTCATCAAAAAGAACATTCTTTCATTTTAAAAGAATGCAGTGCAAACACTTTGTTCAATTCACAATATTTTGTCTAAATGAAGGCAAATCTTTAGAGGTGAGGCTGTTAACAGTGCAAAAATGGCACTTTCATATATCAGTATTTTTGCAAATAAAATTTCTCAAACTTATTACTGGGAAAGGCTTAGGTGGGTCTCCTAATTAGATGTTGCATCACAGAAACAACATACCACAAGACTAGCTTTTATTCAAGCCAATATCCAGAGCTATGTAAATTCCCAAGTGGGATTTATACAGCCCGAAGAAACTGCTTTTAACTAGGACGTACACTTTAAATTTCAGTTACAATCCAAACACACTGATTTAATCTTAGCCTTCAGCAAGCAAATTACCCTTAACATGCTCAAATTGAACTGCCAAACTAAGCTCTTTGGCTGGAGAATTTGGTTGCACTGGATATTTCATTGAAATGGGAACACACCTGTTCTTGAAGGTCTGCTAGTGTTTTTATGATAGTAGTATTCAGCAAATGTATCTTAAAGTACACAGAGAGGTATTTACTAATATTTAAGCCCTAATATGGACCAACTTTCACTGAGCATTGTAAAAAACATTTTAGCTCTCTATGGAATGCCTTTTTTGGAAAGCTTGCCCAAGTCATTAAGCTTCAGTCCTGATGTTACCGAGGTCAGACCAGTGGTTCGCTTCAGGAGGTTTTGTCATCGTGCACCCACAAAGAGAGCAAACTGCTGATGGAGACACTGCAATTCGGCCTTTTATTGTCATCATTCCTCAGTAACAACAGGGAGCAACCTTTCAGAAAAGGTTTTGTATCATCATGATCCATCCCTAACAAGACAGCATGCAAGAAATTATTACCTGCCAAGAGGTGCCTCAAAGGTCTCCTCCAGACCTTTGAGGTTTTCTGATGAGAAACCCAGAAACAGCACACGGGCAGGCAGTGGATGGGCAGGCAGTGGACTAGAAAACTTCACATTCAGGGACACACCAACTCTTTGACACGCTGCATGTGACTTTCACAGTTAAAAAAAAAAGTTTCTACATAGGTGAACAAATGACTTTTATAAGAACTATTTGCTGGAAAACGATACCATAAATATAACTACTCTTAAATCTCTGATTTACTACCTTCATTTATATATGCCATATTCCCAGCATCATATCAGCTTTATGTTTCAGCAAAAATTCTGGTACATAGGACCATTCGTTATCATGTTTAGTTCCATCTAAGAAACATCTTCTAGTAAAGGAAACTTTTCCCTTTTGAGTATTGAAGTTGCCTATTGCCAAATTCCTTTTCTGCTATTAAAAACTTGAGTTTCTAAAGATGAGGCTACAATTCTTCCAGTCTGCCTAGTGTTCAAACTTTTGAAATAAGGAAAGCTATAGTGACCTGCTGATAAAGAAATCACTTATATAATTATCAAAAGCAATTTACCTTGATCTGTCATAGTATTCTTTTTAAGTCAGCTTCACTGGCTACCAGGAAGAATGATCGATTTCAGCATTTCTCCCTAATATGCTTCTTAAAATACACAAAGCAAATAATCTATATGGTACAGAATCAAGGGAGTAGCAGATTTCAAAGATAATGGCTACTATGGGAACCTACACTTTTGAGGGTGTCTGCTTGTTCAGTGCTCCAAGCATGACATTTTCTATTTCAACTCCTCATTTTCTATTTCAGCTCCTCACGTTGACTCCAGACTCGCAATTTAAGTAGAACTGTTTACTCAAGTATTTCACTATCAGTGGCTGGAATCAAAGTGTGTTAAATAGCTTGAAAACAATGAGCTACATAAACCTTTCTATCTTATATTTGGCTATAATACTTCAATTTTTTTAAATTATATTTTTCTCATTATTTTTATCCACAAAATAAAGAATATAGACAATAACTAGTGTAGAAGCAATCAAAGACTACAATTCTGAGTTCTAAATAACTCTTCCCTCATTTCCACTTTTACCTCTCAGAGGTTGAGAGGGTGTGTGTATGTTTACCTATGTAATTATTTTAAAAACAGAGTCATCTCCAAAAGCTTTACATTAGCCTGCTTCTTTAACCTAAAAATAAGAAAAAGAAATGAGTAAAAGAATTTAGAAAGTCTGCTTTAAAATTATTTTTGCAACAATAAAAATCAAACTTTTCCACTACCTTTTAATTGTAAAGGTTATAGTTAATACCATGTATTTTCATCATTTACCCAAAATCACAGTATGCCTACTTGGTTTCCTTTACAAGGCAATGAAGAACTTAATGCTCATGTGTGATACAGAATCTTATTTTTTTATTTGTAGAAAAAAATGAACAAATCTCACTCCCCGTCAAGCTATCACAAGAAGTTAGGTAATAACAGGGAAAAATGCAAATCCTGAAGACATCTAGTCATAACTCCAAATAGAAAACAATGAAAAAATATCCTTAGGTTTTGAAATCATCATATATAACACAGAAGTGCAAGAAAGCTATAGATTTCTTTCATGTCATTTACAAGTTTAATGTTCTAAAACAGATTTTCCTCTAGGGAAAACTCATGACTGATTACTAAATTTAATTCCAAAACTCCTTTTCAGCTAGTCTAAGTAAGTGTGCTTAGTCTAAAACTATCCTTGAGAAACAGAGTTAGTTTTTATAGTACCGCAGGCGCTAGCCTAACACTGAGAACCACCACCTCCCTTTGACACTACAGCTCCTCCCCTAGCAGTCCCTGTATTAATCTAAATGACTGCTCATTTTAAATGATATACTTTAGTAGATAAATATATGAAGACCAATCAGTCTTCCTAAGAATAAAATAGCTTAGCCTTTTGTATATCAAATCAGAATCTGGAAGATAAAAGAATGTACATTATTTTCAAATATACAAGCTATGTGCTAAAGTGAAAAAAAAAAATAAAACATCCTTTAATTCAAGCCAAAGTGCTGTCTGATGCATCCATGGGACGTATGCTAGGAGACAGGTCCTCCACGCTGAAGGTCTCGCCTGCCTGTTTCTACAACAAAGCACAAATGCCAGTGTTAGTCAGTTGACATATTCTGAATTTCAGCTACACAAGCACTCTACTTTTATTTAGAGATTATAATTCAAGAAACAAATTACAGATGAAAAAGAATGACATTTATAAATGACAGGCAACCCATTCTAGAGGAATAGTCAACAAAAAATAAATACCTCCCTCACAATATGAAGTTTTTCTAGTATTAGCTTAACCAAAATTAATCCGATCTTCGTGGTGCTATAAAGATGTAGTTTGAGTTGGAGGTATTAGAGTATTTATATAGCTATAGTCTGTTACTAAAAATGAAGTCCATCCATAGCGTATGATTTAAAGAAATTACTTGAACCCAGAATGTAGCCCTATGCAGCTATACGAAATCATCTGCTTACCTATTGAGTTTCATGTCCTAAGGAAAAAATAAGGTTACCAGCTGCATATAAATAACAGCAAAACATCTGAAGAACCTTTATCAAAATGTTATCACTAATATGGTTTTCTAGTGCAGGACTGTCATTTTTCACTTTTCCTTTATGTTTTCCTGAATTTTATGTACTTAAGTTTCTTTCAACTACTGATAACATCACTTTATTTTGCAAGTTGCAAGCTCTTTACCTAATAAGGCTGTGTTTTCCCCTGCATCTTCCTTAAAACTGGCATCACATTGCGGCACAGACTCACTAGTAGAAGACGATGGTAAGTTGGTCACATCACTTCTGTCCTCCTCTGGTACAGTAATATTCAAATTAGCAGCCGAAACACTTCCTGGGGTAGGTTCTGGAGGAGGGGTCTCAGGCCCATCCTCAAGCTCTAGCTTGAGAAGCAGAACAAAAGAAAATGCCTTTTCTAAGTAACATCGATCAAGGTTTATTATCTTTTGCTGATAATTCACACAAAATATTTACTTTTATATACAGAATACATAGCAAAAAGTTTATCAGGGTCTTCTTCAGCATCAAAGACAATAAATTGCTTTCATAGAAAATAAATTACTTCTCAAAAAGCAGTCTTTCAGGGCCTAAGCCTTTACTTTAAAAAGACATTTCCCCCCTTGATACAAGCAATGCCACCTTTTAAACTACTGACAGAAAGTGAAGCTCTATTGCAAACACACTTTCCTACCTTCTTGGACAGAGATTATCTGCTGAGTACTTAAGGCTGTGAACATGAGCGGAAATTACTGCCTCAGACTGTCTCACTGACACTGGAGTTGAGCTGAGCAAGGATCTGAACCACAAAAGGCTACACAGGGGTTCAGATTGCTTTTGATTCACCTAAAAAGTATCAATTTTGGCTCCTTCCTTATAGTCTATCAGCTGTCAATTTGCTTCCACTTACCCCCACATATCTCCCCTCCATGTGTTGCTTTAAAGAAAACAAGACAGTGAAAGTGGGGGGTATTCAGTGACCTTTTTTAATACCACAGGGGAGCGCTGGCTTGGCTTGTCACCTTTGCTTCAGGTGAAAACACTGTAGAGACATTCCCTCCCCTGTCTGGGTTCTCAGAGCCACGGGTGTGGCCATTCCATCAGAGTTCTAGAAGTCCCTCCCCATCTCTAGTATCAGGCGATACATTTTCTCTTGGTAACTGAACACCCCCAGAACACTGCTGACACTAAGCAACAAATCACGTGTTGCCATAACATCCAAGCTCCTGCTCCACCTACCCTAATCTGTTTTTCCAGGTAATCATTTTTGCCAAACTGAACTACCTTCCAGTCTGAGACCCCACATTCACACCACAGGTATGCCAATAACTTGTAATATACGGATCTGTCAAACAAATCCTTTAACACCCAGCTCAGATGCCCCTCTAAAAATGCACCCGCTTTATCTTCCCACCTCCACCTGGCATAGTACGCTGCTCCTTCCTCTGTGTACTGCACTGTCAATAAAGTGAAATCCCCACAAGTGGAAGGGATCTTATTTGTCTCCCCAGAGCCAAATTCAGATCCAGCACCTTAGACAGTATTCCTTTGACAAATGCTTGTTGAATGAATGAAACAACAGACAAATGACACACCTAAGTGGTTTGAGGAGCAAATGCAAAGGCCTACTGGCAGCTCTCTCACTGTGGTCATTTTCTTGGAAATGAGAACTAGTTACTATGCCTGTGTGTCACAACTATTCATAAAATTCATTGGGGCAGGACCAATGGATCTAAAGAAAATGGCACACTTGTCAAAATCAAAAAAATTATGGGTAAGACAATTTCTTAGTTTGATTTACTATAGGTTTCTGTTATTCAAAACGAAACTACTTTCTGGGGATATACACTCTAGCTTTCTGAAATTAACATTCTAAGAAGCAATCCAACTTTACCTAAAATGAAATATCTTCATTTTTTAATATATGAAATATCTATGTAGATGTATATCCAACAATAAAACTCTTGAAGATTAAAGTCTCAGTGCTAAAGTCAGTGAAATTCCTCTTACTCAGATTTTTAGAAATGAAAAGCAGGTTTAAAATTATTGACTAGTGGAAAAAATTCTAAATGCAGGAAAAGCTGGAAAAACAGGAAGATGGAAAACTTTGCCAAGGAAAACATCTGTCCAGCTCCCTGAACCCAATTGTTTAAAATGAGGTGCATCTAGTCTCTTGCTGGAGCAGAGAGAAGATAAGCCAAGTTTATTAGGAAAGCATGTTATGCCAGGCTGAAGAGTGCTACCATTATTAAAAACTATGACTAGATACACAGAAACTATCTAGATATCAGAGTAGATGAGATTTTAGTAAGACAGTCTTGAATGCTGACCTTTCTCCACTGTGTGCCTACAGGGATCACATTCAGGAACTCACACCTGAAAACAGTAACTCCCTGAAATTGCACTGGCTAAGGCAGTGGTCTCTCATCTGTCTTTTGAAGACATGCTGAGCTTGAAGATAAAGGGAGACTTGGAGCAGACCTGAGGCCTTAAGGGCTTTTATAGCTTTAAGCTGCATAAAATGATTATCTTAAAAATATCTCTTTGTAATTTCTAACTCTGTACTAAACTTTATCAATAATTCTAAAAATGTTTAGCAAAAAGAATATATTTGGGGGCCTCCCTGGTGGCGCAGCGGTTGAGCGCCGGGTTGCAAAGCTGCCCGCAGCCTCTGCAACACCGGTTCGATCCCCAGCTGTTCCCCGACCGCCAGGCGAGGGTCCCACATGGTGTGACAGACCTCTCCTGCTGCCCGCTGCTCCCCTCAGCAGTGTACTTCGGTCCTTCTGCCTGCTCTGCTCCTGCTCTGGCTCTGGTGAATTCTCTCACCTCCCCGCACTTCTGACTGTACCCAGTGCTTGTATAAATAAATAAATAAATAAATCTTAAAAGAAAAAAAAAATTGTCTTAAAAAAAAAGAATATATTTGACATTTAAATTATGTTTTTCAAAGTTCTTTATCTCAAAATGGTTTACTATTTAATCAAGAATACCTGAAGGTATTAGTAGAGTATATGAAGACTCAAAAAACAAAATATCTAACAATCTAAAAGATCTGGGTGTTTTTCCCCTTTCTGTCCCCAATTCTGGACAGGAGAATTAAATAACTTGGATCCTGGAATTAAGCAAACTTGTGTTTGAAAACCAATGCCCCATTAACGGGCTGTGTGACTTTAGGTGAGTTACTTAGCTTCTCTAAGCTCAGTTTCTAGTTAGTAAAATAGGAATAGTAATGGCACTTACCTCAAGAATGGCTGGGAGAGTTAAATGGAATGATGTGTGCGAGGCATTTAGCACATGGCTAGTATAACCATGTTCTCTCTTATTTTTTGTCTGTTTTCTGAAAAGGTTCTATGGCCATATTAAGTATCACAAACTGATAGAACAAATCAATGCAGGGCTAATTTTCCAGCAGTATTTGATTTTGAAGCCCAGGAATTGGGAGAAGTGGTGTCAAAAGGGTTGGCGTCGGTTTCCTCATATATAAAATGTGCGCCTTGAGTCAGAAAATATGACGCTCCTTTCATTTCAAACATTTTATAGTTCTTGTTTATATAAAACTGACTAGATATATACATTCTACACTGTAGTACACCAGAATATAATTACTCTGAATAATTACAAACTATGAGGAAACATCTAGTATGTTATTCTAAACTTAACAAATTTAGTTCATTTTTTGGAATGTCTTAATTTTTTAATAAAGAGGCAAATTTCTTCAGAGAACCACAAGGATATCGGAGGAACACTGAGTTCATTCCTCTTGCCTCTGGCCAGTAATGAAATTGAATCACTCAGGAAGAACCGGGGCAGAGATTGAATATAAACAAAAATGTAACAAACCCAATATCCCAGGGCTTTGATGACATCAAGTTTACACATTGGACACGTGCGGTGATCCAAAAGCCATGGGTCAATGCATATTCTATGAAAAATATGCCTAAAAAAATTAAGTATGTGTTAATGTTTTAAAATAAATGTTTATTCTTATAAAGGAAATAACACACTCATCCTCTCATTACAAGTTAACTTCTGTCAAATCAACATTCTAGTCTATTCACTTACCCTAAATAATATTTTATTTTCTACATTAAACAGAATCTGGCACTTGCATTCAACCTCATGCTAGGTTCCATTTGTATGTGCCTTTGTAAGTGACTTGAAGGCCTCCTGGTCATAAATGTAGCATAAGTAAACCAATAACAGAAATAGCTAATCCTAAACTCATAATCTTAAATAAATTCATAAAACTATTCAAATGTAAGGAGAACAATTTAACAGATTGTCTTGGGTTGTGGGCTTAAAACCTTATTTTCTATTTACTTATTTTTGCACATACTACATTTTTCAATAACTATCAAATGAAAAAAAGATCCTTATGTATTTTCGTCTTTTACTACCTTAGTAAAGCTTTTCCTCTCATGATAAATCTATGTTTTCAAGGCATGAAGAAGATCAGAATGAACAGTCTGAGTTATGGGCTCAAACACCAGGTTGTGTGACTCAATGCTGTGACTTTCATGGCGCTCCTTAACCTCTTGGCACCTACACCACAGGCCATTCTGAGCAGCAAACATGTCATGTGCTTACCACCAAGTTGGGCACAGTTGTTCATTATTACTGGTGTTGTCTGAGGCCTCTTATTCAAATCAGAATCTGCTAGTGCAGCTAATAATAACACCTAATTACATCACAGTCTACTTAAGCCTAGCTTTTGCTCTTTCCATTCTCAAACTGAAACCAACTGACCCAAAGGAGCAATTTTCACAAAAACACTAAAGAAACATGTTGGCTTTATTGGCAAATTTGTTAAATAAGTGCAGGGGGAAATGGGGGAGGAAGGTAACAAGGAGACCAGGAAATGTGTGCACACGTCTACTTGTAAGGGTCAAGGACAAAAGCTGTCATGCTATGGCTGGTGCTATAAAGAGAAATTAGCTTCACAGGCTCACTTGTACAGCATCTCAAGCAGCATTTTTAAAGCAAGAAGATTTGCCTTCAACTAGTCTAGAATAAAAATTCTTTTCTATTTTAGTAATTCTCTACAGGAACACAGTCAACCTACCGTGACCTGATTCATTAAATACCCACCATAGCAATCCCACATAAATGCCTGTAGTTTATCTTAATTCAAAAAAAATCTTGTTGCCCGAGTCATTTATTTATTTCCTCCACAGAACTATTGACAATTTAATCTACTATACATTAAAGTACTTTAAAGCAATCATTACATATTATATATTAACTTGTAACTTCTAATACGTGTGAAGTATCATTTAAACTGATCAACTTAAGACATATAAATTTGTACCCCCTTCTGCTAAAGAGCAACTCTGGGAAAAACTTTCAAATAAGCCATTATTAAAAAGAAAATCAGGACCCTCCCTGGTGGCACAACAGGTTAAGTCTCAGCACTATGAGGCTATCGCCAGCCACTGCAGCACAAGTTTGTATTACATTACAGTCAGGGAGCTGACCCACATGGTGTAGCAGGCCTTCCCTGTCTCACCTGCTGCTCCCCTCAGCAGTGTATTTCAGTCAATCCACCTGTTCTGTTCCCCACTCTGTCTCTGGTGAATCCTCTCACCCACACACCTCTGTCCTACACCCCAGCTCTTGTATGCATAAATAAATCTTAAAAAAAAAAAAACACCATAATTTCTTGTTGCTAAAAAAAGAAAAAAATTTAAAAACTCTGTGTAACCAGAGTAAAAGGAGAAATATTTTACACAATTCCCCAAAGAGCGTAAATCTAGTGTGTAAATAACAGTAAGCCCCTGCCATCCTCTGACCCACTTTCTGCTCTCTTCCTGCACCCTGTCACATTTGTCTCCTTATTTCTAAAAGCATACCTGTTGCTTCACTAAATGTATAAGGTAATTCCAAAATTCTAATGAAGCCTTGCTTACAAGGCTAAAAATCAATCTATGTCAAAGATATACAATGGGTCTCAACGGTCACCTTAAGTCTCCCAAGCAAAGAAATTTTCAAGTAATACAATACAGGTAACCTTGAAGAGCTCAAGTCTCTTTTCTAAGAGACTCAATGATCATGAAAATATCACACGACAGCAAGGCTTTCATGTAATAAGGGAAACATAACACTTTTGTAAGAAACCTTTTAAGTAATTTTTAATATCTCAGGAGGTTAAAAAGAAAACGTACTTGCATGGCAGAATTCTGATAACATCCTTTACTTTAAAATTTTCAATACACACTGCACAATTTTCAACATCAATATCGATTCCCTGTAAAAACAAGAAAAAGGAATTTTTGACATCCATGTGACACAGTATACTCTCAGTAAAACTCACCACATCCTGGGTAAACAGTAAATTCTGTTCTGTACTGGTACAACCTGAAGTAAATACAGATGATTTCTACTTAGTGTTTCCTTTTTACCACTATTAAGAGGTCATTTACAGAACATGGCTGATAGTTTTAGCATTAGGATATAGCTACAATAATTTAAATAATTCATACTACCCATTTAAATTTTACTTTGTTCTACATAGGAAATTCAGCAATATGTCCTTAATTATAATTTGATAAATGTGGTATAAACTAAAAAAAAAATGAAATAGCTGACTGAAAAGGAAAAAAATTCATTGTTTACCTAATCACACGAGCAGTATTTAAGCACTAGGCTAGTGTTTGCTTTTTTTTTTTTTTAAGAGTTCATATTTTAAGGGCTGTAGATATGCAAATTCCTGTTTCATTGCAATAAAATAAATCGTAAACATAAAACTTAGGAAGAGGATGAATATTTAACAAACTACTTGTTTCCTGGTATCATTAAAAACAAAAACAAAAGCAGTTTCATTAGAATTTGCTGAAAGAATAGTCATGCCTTCAATATGTGAAAATGTGAAGGGCTAAATGTCTGAAAATAATCACCTTTAGTGTTGAAAGAATTAAAAACTGAAATAAGTTAACATTTTCATCTATGGGATTAAGGAAAGTAAAAAGAAACAAAAGTTGCTGGAGTGGAAGCAGTCTTGTGACAAAAATTTCCACTTCTAAGAATGTACGGACCCAGACACTTTGAAGGATGTCAGCCCTCACCAAAGCAGGTGGGGTCACAGTGATCAACTGACCCAACACAGACAAATAACACGCCGCTTCCCAGAATTCTGGGATGGGGAGGCAGGGGCTATTAATCAACATCTGCATGTGCCTGAGACTTGAGATAGTTAATTTTATGGAACTCAGCTAACACATATCCTTATATAATGGTTTAAAAATATATTTAGCCCTGTGTATAACTTGTTAATAAACAGGCAGTAAAAGCTGATTTTATATGCATATATTGCTATCAAAGACTATTAGAACTTTGTAAGAACATTTAACATTATATGTTACAACAGAGACAAATATTATCAGTTACTTATCATATGCTGTGCAGGAATGACAAAATAATATTTAAAGTCCCTAGTGGTTTGCAAGCTTATATGCTACTGTGAAGGAGTCCACCAGAAAAATGAGCAAACAAGCAGACTCCTGAACCAAATAAAATGCAGATTTAAGAAAGCAGAAAAGAGAAAGAAAAATATTATTTTTCTATACATAGCATCACCAGAAAATCCACATATATTTGAACATATGGATATACCTCATGGACCATTTACAGATCCTCTTTTTAACTACTGTACAACTCTCATAAAAATAGTCCGTAAAAGCAAATTTTCAAAAATGTTCTGTAATGGGTAAAGGACAATATCAATTAAGTTCTCAAAGACTCAGTTCAGTAAATTAAACGCATGAATCTATGGCTTCTCACTTGTAAAAACTGAGATTTCTGCTCTGGAGAACATAATAAAGGTTTCTAGAGGAACATGAAAATACATGCTTGTCCAGTCACCGACACAATGAATGCACATGGAGCCTGTCAGGCGCTCCTGGCGACTCACTGATGTGTACATCAGATACTCATCTTAAGTCCTGAGATGCAATTTTTTTTTAACTTTTTCTGTTCAATACATCCACACAGAAAGAAACCAATTAGTCCTTTGAGCAAACTACTCCACTTTAAGTGTTACTACAATGGAAAAAGTATTGAGGAAGGAATGGCCACCAACAATCCAATTCCAAGAATATCAATATAAAGTATATCACATAAACCATTAATAGCAAAGTGTTACAAATCAAAAGTCTGTTTTTAATGAGTGCTATTTCTGTTTTAATCCTTTATGTTGGTCAGAGGAAGAGAGAGTATTGTTAAGTACAGTTTAACTATTTTCCTTTTAGGGTATATAAGCTCTAAGCACCCGAGGTTCTAAATCAGAGATTTTCCTTTCCCAAATATGCTTAAAACTGGTATAATTCTGACCTTTTAAGCCTCAGATTGGGCCATGTCAAAATGTTTCTTTTTAAAAACAGTAGTTTTAAAAACAATATTTCTTCTCTTCTTCACAAATCCCAGTTAGTATTTTCTCCCTGTAACTATGGGACTCAAAGAGGATGGACAGGTAATTTTAGACTTAACAGATATAAATTTAAAGTATCAGGGTATATGGCATAAACTGAGCTCTATGGCTTCTTTAAGAGTTACTTGTGTCTGGCCAAAAGGTAAGACTTACTTGAATGATGGACATGTCTGTGCTGTCTAGAATGGTAGCACCAGCCAGTGCAACCATCTGAGCATTTGAAATGTAATTAATGTGACTGACAAACGGAGTTCTAAGTTTAACTGAATTCATTTAAATTCACATAGTGATCAGAGGTTACCCTACCAGGCAGGACAGGTCTAGAAAGCTCTTCACATATAAAATTGACTCTTTCTGCCAACCCTTTCTTAGAATGACCACGCACATAAAATTAGTCCTAATTCAATCCAGCCAAAACTCTACACATTTATTAACACTGTGATTTTAGCAAACTGGAAGGCATTACTTAGATTACATAAACAGACATATTCTAGTCTAAACCCTTCCCCCCCCCCAAAAAAAAATTACCTTTTCTCCATGCTTTACAGTATGAAGTGGAAGTTGGCCAATAACTTTCTTTGTTTCTTTTCTGTGGCTCTTAGGTAGGAAAAATATTAAAATTTTTTAAATCACTATTTAAAAAATTCATTGTTTAGTCATAGTTAAGCAAACTTATGAAAATTTCATTTAAAGTTAAACTACAATGAAACCAAATTTTTAAGTCACCATTTAAATCTCAATGCATAGAACAGTCACATGTAACTTAAGAGCTGTTCGATAAAGAATACTTATTTTCAATTCCATGTCTGAAGAAGAAAACAATTCTTATGTCTAAAGCATTAAGTTGAGGCTAGGAGTAGCACACACTCAATCCGTTAACATCTCTAAAAGGAAAGAGGCTTCTTACTCCTCAGAGAGACCACAATCCAAAAATGATTATTTACCACCTACAAAAACCAGGAAGCTGGACTTTTCAAGACAACAGAGGTAAGTGTGAAATTTAAAAGCCTGCCTTTTAAAGCTGACTCTTTCAACTGCTTTCCTTTTTGCTGTTCCTGAAATCGTATGTTTCAGCACATAAACAGCTTTGAAAATGGCTCCACTCTGGCGACAGGGAAGCCCTCCCATTCTGCTCCTCATCTTGGTGACCAGGGTTCTCTTTTTAAATACCAGGTTCCTTGTCCCTCATGCCTTTCTGTCATTCCTTTATGTCTATAAAAGGACAAACGTTATCTGTAGGAGCAAAACATGCAAAGAATGACCCTGGCTTAAAAGGTATCCTATGTCTCACAAAATTGAAAATTTAATATATTCTAATTAAAAAATTATTTTTAGGCCTCCCTGGTGGTGCAAGGGGTTAAGACACAACCTATGAAGCCATCCGCAGCCACTGAGGCAAGAGTTCAATCCCCAGCCAGGGAGCTACCTACATGGTGCGGCAGACCTCTCCTGTCTCACCCGCTGCTCCCCTCAGCAGTGTATTTCAGTCAATCTGCCTGTTCTGTTCCCTGCTCTATCTCTAGTGAATCCTCTTACCTCCCCACCACCTCTGGCCTATACCCCAGTTCTTGCATGCATGCATAAATAAAACTTTAAAAAATTTTTTTTAAATAATATTAATACTTAAATATTATGAATGAAAATGAAACTTAAGAATATTTACGGACTATCTTTTAAGAAGTGAAATTAAAAAGAGATATGCATCATTACCTGACTTCCAAACTGAGAGCCAGTATATAGGAAACGCTGTATATAGTAAAATATTAGCCAGGCTAATGAGATAATCATCATGGTGATGAAAGCGATGGCGACAAACACCACAGACTGACTACTGATGAATTCCTGTACGTGACGCGTGCCGACCTTTATAGTCATATTGACTGGAATCCCTTTTTGCACCAGATCCAAAATTTCTCTTCCTTTTTGGTAGCTAACCATGATGACGACTATATTTCCTGTTCCTGTGGGAAAGGAGAAAATCAATATAAAGAACACAAAATAAGATACAAATAAATATAACATAAATGAACGTTACGGCTTAGCCATGTAGAAACATCTGAAAATTTCAATAAAATGGGTATTTTTTAAGGAAAAGATAAATTAACAAAACTGATCCCTAAAGAAAAATATTATTACAGTAGTTACTGAAGTAAAACAAGACACCAATCCCCCCCTCAAAAAGCAAGATCCCTGGTCAATTTCACAGGTGAGTTCTATCACTGAAACTTTCATGACGAATAACATCAATATTTTAATTGTTTCAGAGCTGGTTTTTTAAAAAAGGCAAGGAGGGAGTTTCAAAATTATTCCTAAAGAGACCAAATATGGTATTAAAAACAACAGAATCCTACAGGCCAATTTCACTTAATAGTATTAATTTAGGGGCCTCCCTGGTGGCGCAAGGGATTAAGCCTCATCACTTTCAAGTGATTGAAAGTCACAGTAGCATGAGTTAGATCCCTGGCCAGGGAGTGCTACCCACAAGGCGCAGCAGACCTCTCCTGTATCGCCTGCTACTCCCCTCAGCAGTGTATTTCGGTCAATCCACCTGTTCTGCTCTCCACTCTCTCTGGTGAATCCTCTCATTCCTCCCGCACCTCTGGCCTACACCACAACTCTTGTATGAATAAAGAAAATAAATCTTAAAAAAAAAAATGTATTAATACATAATAACGAAAGCCTGCCTGGGCCTCCCCAGTGGCGCAGTAGTTGAGCGCTGGGCTGCAAAGCTGTCCGCAGCCTCTGCAGCGCCGGTTCAATCCCCGGCCCTTGGGCAAGGGTCCCACATGGCGCGCAGACCTCTCCTGCCGCCAGCTGCTCCCCTCAGCAGTGTGTTTCGTCAGTCTGCCTGCTCTGCTCCCCTCTGGCTCTGGTGAATTTTCTCACCTTCCCGCACTTCTGACTGTACCCAGTGCTTGTATAAATAAATAAATAAATAAATAAAATAATGAAAGCCTGCCTGTCTAAGGCAATCTAAGAATTTCTGCTCTGATCACTATATTTAACATTGTTCTGAAGGCAGGAGCTGACAGAAGACAAAAAATAGTGATAGAAGCAGCAAAATAATTTCTATGAATCTGTCCAAATTAATGCAACACCCATAAATATCTAGAATCTTTAAAACCTTAAATATGTCCATGGGAAACTGATCAGAACAGGCAAAGTAGAAAAGTCCACAAATTAGACCCACACACATAAAATAGTTTAGTATATGATAAAAGACGAATTTCGAAGCAACAATGTAAAATGGACTTAAAATAGTGTGTGGATAACTGGGTGTCATCTGAGGGAAATAAAGCTTCAGCCTTCCTTATAACTTTTGTCAAAATAAATTCCAACTAAGTCAAAGTTTAAATATATTAAAAAAGAGAACAAGAAACATGGAAATTTTAATGTATATAATACTGGAGGAAAACTACGTCAGATTCCATTTTTTAAAAAAAGAAAAAAAAAAAAGAATTTTGACTAACCAGAAAAACCCAAAATTTCTGCATGGTTTAATGAGAGCAGAAACAAGATCAAAAGTACTTATGACCAACTGGGGGGAAATGTAGATAATATAGCAAAGACCAAAACTAATTTCCTGTAATAAAAAGGCAACAGGAAAGCAAAGGAAATGAAGCTAATTCATAAAAGAGTAGTTTCAGTGAGCTGTAACTCACATGCAATTAAACACCCTTAGTGTACAATTCAGTGCTTTTGGGTATATTCACAAAGACCGTGTACATCATTACCATTATCTAATTCTATGGCATGTAATAGTCCCCCTCCCCTATCCCCCCAAAAAACTCAGTACACCTTAGCAGTCATTTCCCAACAAAGGGATTTTCCATATATGAGAAGTCATAGTATATAGGAAAACATTTTACCAATACAACTAGCAAAGATCAGAAAGTGAAACAATACACTGGGGAGAGTAAGCACAAATCTGCACTCTTGTATACTACTGGGGGGAATTATTACAATCTAATAAGGGAGATGTTGGCTGTCAATTTTTTTAAAAATGCACAAGTTTCTTTGACCCATGAATTCAGGTCCAGGAATTTAACTGAAAAAATACACTACACGTATGCGCAAGATAAGATCTCTCTAAAGATATTTATTGCCAATATTTTTTCTAAGATTTTGCTATCACAATCTAAATGTATACCAATAATAAAAGCTACATAAATGACAATATGTAGACAGAGACAGCAACTGTGTTGGCATTGTAGCACTGCTAGAACTCAAAACAGAAGAGAAAAAAAGCAACATATTAAATTGTGTGTCCAAAAAAAAAATCTGTAAGGCTTAAAAACCTAGACTATTTCAGGAAGGCTGCTCTAGGGACTGGGGACACTGGCTGCCTCTAGAGAGAGAAGTCAGGCACAGCAGAACTGTACCATGTGTACACATTATCTATTCAAAAAATAATTGTAGGGGCCTCTCTGGTGGCGCAGCGGTTAAGCGCAGGGTTGCAAAGCTGCCCGCAGCCTCTGCAGCACCGGTTCGATCCCCGGCTGCTCTCAGGCCACCGGAGGAGAGTCCCACATGGTGCGCAGACCTCTCCTGCCGCCCGCTGCTCCCCCAAGTATAGTTCAGTGCTTCTGCCTGCTCTGCTCCCCACTCTGGCTCTGGTGAATTCTCTCACCCTCCCGCGCTTCTGACTACCCCCAGTGCTTGTATAAATAAATAAATAAATCTTAAAAAAAATGTAAAAATACAGATAAGGAATGCTCTCTGGTACTACACAGAAACCACATATTATAACACACTGATTGCGTAGAGAAATTTTACCCATAGCAAGTCTGCTGTGGCTCTCAGCCATGGGTATTTAGTTACTGAAACACCAGATGAGCACCCTTCTAAGGTGGCTCCTGTGCGGAAGCCAATCCTATTACCTGGGCCTCTAAGGGTCACTAGCAAGAAGTGTAGTTCCCTTGGCACTCACCCAATCTACCAAGTCACCACCAGGGAGAGAGACACTATTTAAGGAGTAAGGCATTTCCTGCTTTCAGGAAAATAAACATCTAGTAGCTAAGTAAGACAAGCAAAGAAATGACTCTAATAGTTGTATCGCTTACTTTTTTTAAAGGATTTATTTGATTTATTTATATATACAAGAGTTGGAGTGTAGGCCAGAGGTGTGAGGGGAGGGGGGTGTTTATTTTATTTATTTATGCATACAAGAGCTGGGGTGTAGGCCAGAGGTGGGGGAGAGGGGGGGATGAGAGGATTCACCAGAGACAGAGTGGGAGCAGAACAGATGGACTGACTGAAATAGACTGCAGAGGAGAGCAGAGGGGAGCAGCGGGCAAGACAGATGAGGTCTGCTGTGCCATGTGGGTCAGCGTCCTTGCTGGGGATCAAACTTGTGCTGCAGTGGCTGCTGATAGCTTCATAGTGCTGAGACTTATCCCCTATGCCATCAAAGAGGCCCTGTACTGCTTATAATTATATGGCACTTCATAAGCTGAAAGTCTTAATAAACCTCCTTTTGTAGAAAATGTTGAGCACATACTAAAGTAGAAAGAGTGGTATGAACCCATGTACCCATTTCAGTTAAAAGCTTTTATATAGAAAGCAAAACTGTTTCTATGCTGTGGTTACAGCCACACACAATTTCTGGGACTGATCTGTAGAGATAAATACAGATACTATCTACACATATATTCGTGTCTGTGTGTGTGTGCACATGCACGTATCTAAATATACCTGTGTGTAATAAATGGGAAAAACAACTTTGAAGCACATTTTCACATTTACATCTCACTTGAAGCTGAAGAGGCAGCAATTTCATCTACTGAAGGCTGAGAAATCTTTAGAGAGCGGCTCAATGTCATATACCTTCTGAGAAACAAGCTTCTCAGATCTGAAGACCCAGCTCCAGCCTACTGTCCTTGCCTTGGCCCTTCCTTGTTCTGGGGGTGACAGGCTCCAGAGCCTCAGAGACTGGGTTCAAATCTCACATCACTATCTGGGTCCTCTCTGAGAATATTTCTTCAGCTATAAAATAGGGATGAGAATTTTTCTATTTTGGATGGTTACTTATTTAGCAAGAAAGTAGAATATGACAAAAAGTGGGAGAAATGAAGTGACAATTTTTGTCTTGGGTGAAAGGGAACTTTTCCCTCTTGAGCTACATCTTGATGGGCAGGAAAAGTTTACCAAGCAAAGGAAGGGAGGCTTCCTAAGCTGTGAAACCATCATAAAAATACATTTGGGATGATAACTGGTCCAATTTGGTTAGTGACTAAAATGCTTGTAAAGGGATCTTTATTTCTTTCTTTCTTTTTTTTTTTTATAGAGGCATGCTTTATTTATTTGTTTGCTGGTTTGTTTGTTTTGTTTTTGTTTATACATGCACTGGGTACAGTCAGAAGCGCAGGAGGGTGAGAGAATTCACCAGAGCCAGAGCGGGGAGCAGAGCAGGCAGAAGGACTGAAGTACACTGCTGAGGGGAGCAGCGGGCGGCAGGAGAGGTCTGCGCGCCATGTGGGACCCTCCTCCGGTGGCCGGGGAGCAGCCGGGGATCGAACCGGCGCCACAGAGGCCGCGGGCAGCTTCGCAACCCAGCGCTCAACCACTGCGCCACCGGGGAGGCCCGGGATCTTTATTTCTTTACACCAATGCCTTACATAGAAGCTAGCACATAATAAGTATTTGTTGAATAAATTAATAAATTCATGAGACTGGAAGATAAAATGAAATTAGAGGTTCTTAAATGTTTCATCTTAAGGAGGTGGGAGAGGGACAGCTATTAACACAATGATTATTAGGAAGATACCCTGAAGTGAAAACATTTGTAATATTAATCTAAAATGTTCACCTAGGAAATTAATTTTAGGTCACTGAGGTAGAAGAAATCATTAAAAAAAAATACTGTATCTAGGATGAAGGCTAAAGCATTTACTATACTATAGTTACAGCAGCAAAACTGCTTCTGGTAACTATTTTAAATTAACAAAATCGAGACTGAAGA